TTTCGGGTTTCGGGTTTAGGGTTGAGAGGTTTAGGGGTTTAGGGGTTTAGGGTTTAGGGTTTAGGGCTTAGGGTTTAGAGGCTTAGAGGTTTAGGGTTTAGGGTTTAGGGTTTAGAGTTTTAGGGTTTAGGGGTTTAGGGTTTAGGGTTGAGAGGTTTAGGGGTTTAGGGTTTAGGGTGTAGGGTTTCGGGTTGAGGGTTTGGGGTTTCGGGTTTAGGGTTGCCGATTTAAGCGCCCCGGAAGTGGCTCATCATTTTCGACCCAGAGGGCTTCTACGGCTTAGGGCTTTAGGGTGCTATTATGGGCTTCAGGCTTTTAGGATATAGGGTAGAATCCGAACCTTTTAAACCCCAAACCTTAAAGCCCCAAAGCCCTATACCCCAAACTCCAAAACCCTAAATCCAAGACCCGAAAACCCCAAAACCCCAAAGCCTAAACCCTTATGGGCTCTCCGTGCTTCCAAGATACGCCATGGCACCCCCCAGCTGCACATCGCCGTCGCGGCGGAACTTCGCCATTGCCTCGGACGTGCGAGGCCTTTTCTTCCGTTCCTCTACGGAGTTTAGGGGTGTAGGGTTTAAGGTTTAGGGTTTAGGGAATCAGGGTCCTTCCTTGGATCCCCAAGGTAGTACGGCACCCTTACAAACGGAACCCGAACAGGGGCCCGAATTTAGAGAACCACCCATATGGGTTCGTTAGGGGCTCTGTGATATGAAGCTTTAAACGAGTTCTAGAAGGCTTCATGTTCCCGAGCTGAAAGGTTCCGGTTGAGGTTAGGAGTACCTTTGGGGGCATCGAGTGATGCGGATTTTGGGGGCTTTTAGGGCTTTTGTTCCGGCCATTACAACCTTGCTTGCGGTTTCGGGTAGAGGGTTTAGGGTACAAAACGCCCAATCACATCCCCGCCTGGCTGATAAACAAAAAAAACTGGGATACAGGCAAGGGTACATGTGCCCTGATTCTCCCAAGAGGGCTTAGTACGGGCTTAGAATCCACGATTAAGATGCGGGGTTTGGTTTATAAGCTGTATATGGTTTAGGGCTTAGGGCTCCAGGTTTAGGATTTGGGCCAGAGGATTTTTGCCGCCACGGGTTTAGGGTTTAGGGTTTTGGGTTTGGGGTTATACCAAGAGGGTCCATATATACTAATGTTAACTTCGCTTTAATAACCCCCCCCCAAGATAGATTTGGCGGATTTTTATATATAACTGAGGGGGGATTATAATTGCCAAGTTAACATTACTATTATGGAATTAAGTCCCCAAAACTATAATAAGGATGGTCTTTCGGGGCCGCCTAATTCCATAATGGTAGTGTATATGGACCCTCTGGGATATGAAGCTTCATGAGTTAGCTTTGTGGCTTTAACCTGCTACGCAACGATTTCTGAAGGATGTCTCGGAAATTTGCAGAGGCTAGGCTCCTTAGTAGAGCGGCCTTAACAATAAGAGTATGAGAGCACGCTGTATACGGCTGTAGAGAACGTGACGGAATAAAGAATAGAGTGAGTTCTATGGGGACTACACCTTAACAATAAGACTATGAGAGCACGCTGTATACGGCTGTAGAGAGTTTGACGGAATAATGTACAAAGTAAGCTCTATGGGGACTACAGGTGGATATTACACAGATGTTTCATATATAGTACCATTATGGAATTAGGTCCCTAAACCCTTAAGAAGGATGGTCTTTTAGGGCCTAATTCCATAATGGTACGTTTTGTGGAGACTCTGGGTTAGCTTGAGTTTTTCTGTTGCCGAGCGGAATTCGCGCTATCCTCCTCAGTAAAGTAGCCTGAATCATCAAACTGGAGCTTGTGGGGGATTAGGGGTTTAGGGTTTAGGGTTTAGAATTTAAGGTTGAGGGTTTGCAAAATCAGTACTTCAGGAACCTTACGGCATACTGCGAAGGGAAGGGAAGGGAAGGGAACATGACAAACCGTAAACTCACTCGAATCTCCAGTTCCTCTTACTGCTGTGATCATGATGACGAAGACGGTGATGATGATGATGATCATCATCATCATCAAGATGATGATGATGACGATGATGATGATGATGCCTTCACCTTGGAGGGTATTGACAAGCCGTTACTACCTTATTCAGATTCAGTGCTAGCGACCATCACCCACACTTGAACTTGAGGAGATCTACGAAAATTAAACACGCGATTTGCCGAGCCGGCGATGCCGCCTGATTACACACAGCGCGAACTACTATTGACCTGCTGATCATATTCTAGCTAAGTAGGTATCGTGTGGTTTGGCGCCCGTAGGCAAAATTCCGGGGTTTGGGGGCTTGATCATTTGGTATCCTTTCTGCCTACTTTGTCCCTCTGAGTCATGGGTTCTTGATTCTTGAAAAATAAATTACAGCCCAACATGAATCATACGTGTTTGCTGACTCGCAAGCTCTTCTTCGTATACATGGGAAAATTCTTGACGGCTGGCAGGTGCGGGATGTCCTCGCGAGCTCGAGGCAGCGATTCGTGGCCAAACTCCACTTGCTGATCCTGTGCCATTTGACCAACAAACTGCAGACTCTTCGGCCGCGGCGTGTGCTTCTGCTCGTTGTGCGAGAAGCGCATTCTGCTGCAGCTGCAGCTCACCCGACGTCGCCGAAAGCGACCGGCAAGAGGAGCCCCAAGCATCTATGTCGAACTCGGCTGGGCGCATGTTCTCTGACAAGTCCCGCACTGCCTCGTCCATGGTCTGCTTGTTTTTTCCCTCTGCCTAGGGGCAATGAGCAGCGTTGCTCAGGACAGCGACCTGAGATTCTGAGTCTCTGAATCGTCATCGCACGAACATTGCCGGGCCATTCTTCGTAAGTCGTGAAGTAACAGTACCTAGGCCAACTATGTAAGCAATAGTGTAACCAGTACGACACGATGATTAACAATATTGTTTATGATCATTACTTTTATTTTTGGGTTGATTTATTACGGCTGGAATTTCTCGTATTAAAACACGGTATTCTGAAGTCTACGCTCTGTCATCAGACCAAAGAACCTCAACTCTCTTGCAGCTGTGTGGCTGCAACCACGTTGGGAATGCCACCTTGGTCGAAGATTTGCTGCCTCGCCGGGTTAAGGTTTGAGCTTAGGCTTTACATCTCGGCGCTCAGGAAGGGCAGCTAGTTAGTTGCGTGGTTGTGGTCCTGTAATCACATCAGAAACGGGGACTACGCCTGAGGATCCAGGCAGGCTGGAAATCCTATAACGAGTGGTTGTCTTCCTTTTTGGAGTTGTGAGTGAAGTCCCCGCACGGCCTGCAACTCAAATTCTTCAAAGCGTACGCCCTAAACCCTCAACTCTTCAAACTTGTAAACCCGAAACAATTCAAACACCCTACCTATAGTCTCCATTGTAGTTCCTTTTTGGGTTTAACCAGTTTTATAGTTAGGATCCTAGAAGGTAACCCCAAAAAGGAATTATCATGGAGACGACAGATAAACCCTAAACTCTTCAAAGCCCCAGACCCCAAACCCGAAACTTTTCCAAGCCCAAAAGCTTTCAGAGTTTGGGTTTAGGGTTTAGGGTTTAGGGTTTAGCCTTCGCCTTCGAGAACTCCTACCCGAAACCCTACATTCAGAGATCCTACCCCGACGCCTGCAAGGATCCACAAAGTAGATCCTTTATTTGAGGGGGCTCCAAAAAACTACCCTTTAGCAGTATAAGGTCCCAGATTAGGGGTTCTACTTTTTGGATCCTTCCGGGAGTCTGGGCAGTAATCACCTTCGACCCACACCCTGGGATCCCACTGCCCCTTAAAATCGGAAGATTCCTTCAAATGGCGGTGTAACAGGTTACAGGGCTTAGGAATTAGGGTTGGGGTTTCAGGTTAGGGTTAGGGAACCCTAAACCCGAAACCGTTAGGGAATTCAGCTACATTAGAGTCTGAAATTGTATCTTTCGGAATGTTGCTGAGGTGGCCGCCTGGAGGGACTATGTCACAGAAGACTCAGAAGCCTAAACCACTCCATCATACCTTAGTTTAAACTTTCATGATTTCGTGGTTTAAGGCCAAGCGTTCGTGGTTCAAGGTTTAGGGCCAATTTTTCGTGGTTTAAGGCCAACCATTCGTGGTTTAAGGCTTCGCGGTTTCAGGCAATCTTGCCTTGAACCACGAACGATCTGGCCTTGAACCACGAATATTCGCGGGTTAAGGCAAAAAATCGTGTTTCAAGGCCGTTCAAGGCAAAGGGTAGTCCGAACCCTAAACATAGTCCGAATCTTCGCCCGAACCCTACAATCGTAGTCCGAATCCTACGATAATCGTCCGAACCCTATAATAGTAGCCCGAATCCTAGAATAATAGTCTGAACCTTAAAATAATAGTCCGAATCCAAAAAATAGTCCGAATCCTAAAACAATAGTCCGAGCCGTAAACATGATAGTCCAAACCCTAAGATACTATTCCGAAACTTAAAAATAATAAAAGATAGGCCGAACCCTAAAAGAGTCCGAACCCCAAAGTAGTAGTAGTAGTAGTAGTAGTAGTAGTAGTAGTAGTAGTAGTAGTCCGAACCCTCAAATTATTGTCAGAACCCTAAAAAATAGTCCGAACCCTAAAATAATAGTCCGAAAAATGATAGCCCGAACCCTAGAAATAGAACTTTTAGAAACCTTGCGCCAGCCTACTGAAAGGACCAAACCCACCCCGAAACTCTGAACGCTAAACCCTAAACTCTAAATGCTCTAAACTCTGAACCCTAAACCCTAAAAACCCTGAACTCTGAACCCTAAATCCTTAAAGCCCTAAACTCTGAACCCTAAATCCCTAAACCCTAAAATAGCCCTAAACTCTGAACCCACAACCCTAAACCCTAAAAGCCCTATACTCTCAACCCAAAACTCAAAACCCTAAGAGCCCTAAACTCTAAATCTAAACCCTCAACCCGAACCCTAAAGCCTAATCCTAAACCCTAAAAGCCCTAAACCCAAACTCTAAACCCTAAACCCTAAACCCTAAACCCTAAACCCTAAACCCCTAAACCCCTAAACCCCTAAACCCTAAACCCTAAAAGCCCTAAACCCCGAAACCCCACGCTTCGCCGGGCCTGGCCGCTTTGGAGAGGCAGGAAAGCGCGGCGAGGCCCGCCTTCTGAACTTGGCGGACCCGCCTCAGAGTATCGAGGGTTTAGGGGTTCGGGTTTAGGGTTTAGGGTTTAGGGCTTAGGGTTTAGGGTTTAGGGTTGAGGGTTTAGGATTTAGGTTCGGGTTGAGGGTTTAGGGGTTTAGGGTTCAGGATTTAGGGTTTAGGGTTTAGGGTTTAGGGTTCGGGTTGAGGGTTTAGGGGTTTAGGGTTTAGGGTTGAGGGTTGAGGGTTTAGGGTTTAGGGTTGTGGGTTCAGGGTTCAGGGTTTAGGGTTTAGGGTTTAGGGGTTTAGATTTAGGGTCAACTCACAGACAACCATCAACTCAACAATCGCAAGGTGCAAATGGCGTATAGGATTTGATAACCCTCACCCCTAAGCCCTAAACCCGTCATACGCCCACATGTAGGGTCTAGGCCTTGGACGGAAGCAGGTCAAGCTAAAGCCTTCAATCTGTGGCTTCAGGTTTTGGCCAATTCTTACTCAGGGTTTAGGGTTTAGGGTTTCCCTCTTCCCAAGGTTCGACTAGGACTGGAGGATCTGTGAAAGCCATTTCCATACCGCGGTTTAGGGCCGAGAGTTTAGGATCCACTTTGCTGGGCGAAGTAATGGTCAACATCTTGGCGCTTATCTAGGGATTTTAGTACGCATTTACTCACTCTCTGCATGCCACCCCTAGCCCATCGACATCACCCGTTCCGAAGATCTGCATGATCTGACCATGGTCTTCGACAACCGCACCGGAAAACTGTCGAGCTGTAGGGGCCGTGATGCTTAGCATAGGCTTGGAGGGATAATGTATTACAAGGGGATACTGTGATTAGATCCCCACCTAAAGCCTAAAGCCCCTGCAAAAGCCTTAACTCTAAGCGCTCTGCCCAAAACCCTAAAACCCTAGAAGCCTTATTTGTCCAGTCTCCTAGTGGGACGAAAACCCTAAAACCCTAAACCTCAAGCCCTGAACGCTAACCCCCAAACCCTAACCCTAAACCCAGTACCCTAAAGACTCAAACAATAAACCTCAAGCCCGGAACCCTAAACCCCACCAAACCCCTAAAACCTCAAGCCTTAAACTCTAAGCCCTGGCAAAAACCCTAATATAGGGCCAGGAGCCTTAATAATTAGAATAAGGTTTTGGGGCCCATTATGCTATAATTATAATAAGGAACCCCAAAACCCTGTTCTAATTATCCCTAAGGGTCCAAGTACCTAATAATCATATACTCTCCCAAATAGTAAGTAACCTACATAACTACTATCCGAAACCTATGTACCTGATTGTGGGGTCCTTTGGACCCTCGGGGTATTAAGGGCTTAGAATAAAGCTTTGAGGCCCATTATGCTACAAGTATAATAAGGACCCCCCCAAAAAACTGTTCCCTAAACCCTAAAACCCTAAAACCCTAAAACCCTAAACCCTAAACCCTAAACCCTAACCCCTAAACCTGAATTGTTAAGGCCCCTAAATGAACCAAGGAGCCGGTGCTCCTCCAAGGAGGCGAGCAACACCGGAACGGCCCCAAGGGCCTTCGGTTTAGGGTTTAGGGCTT